ACATTTTACTAATAGAATGTATGATAAAATTTCAAAAGACTCTCGTACAGTTCTTCAAAGTGCCGTGTTGTCCCACGATTACATGATTTTCAGGGTGAAATTTAAGAGAAGACTTTCCGTGTTTGCGATAAACACATGCGAAAACAATCTTCATGTTTATTGCATGAAATAAAATAATAATATTCCGGAGGAGAAACATCGCGATTGTGCGTAAATATGTAACATATTTAATGAAGACCTAAAAGGTGAAAGCAGAAATAATACTGTTAGCCCGTCACGTTCTTACAACGTGTAATAATATTATGTGCTTGTCTATTTATTCAAATCGGCTCGAGAGGATGGCATTTGTTTCGTGTTTGCGATCTTCGAAGCAGAACCCTCGGAAATTATATATTTCTCTGAAGTGAAGCACTTGGACGTGTTACGTCAAATTCACGAAACATCAATTCGGTCTTTAAAGTGTCACACCACACAAACGGTTTGCCAATTTCAATTTTCGCCCCGTTCAGTTCGTCCCCCTAACTTCTTACCGAGTATCTCGTGATCTTCGGTGCATCCTTGACGAAACTGGTGGTAATCTTGTCGCTGTCGATGCGCATCGCATCGACCCGATTTGCCGCGCGTATGTTCTCCATGGCGAGCGATAAGATCCACGGGTCTTTGCCGCACTTGCGTCGAGTGTTTCAACGTGTGAATTAAAGAGAACAACTGTGGAAGCAAGTTCTCCGAGCGCTAACAACGCGATGCTCGGTTGTCGACGAGGTGGTAATCTAACACTGCGCATTGTAATAGAACGCCGTCAGTCTTATATACGCTCCGTAGGAGCAACAGGCGTTCTCGCAGGTTCAGGGACAGATAGATATAGTTTAGGATACTTAGGATTGCGGCGACGCCCCCGTTTTTAATATCGAAGGATATCTAATCAGCCTTGGATCGACCCGCAATCATCGCGTAATTATGCCGCAGCTTTGTATAATTTTGCAGCGATTTATTATGATAAACTGGATCTTATTTTTCACTCGAGCGAGGAGCGTTGCATTGCCAGATGAGGCGCGAGAATATGAGATTGGACGAAAAGTCGAGAAATCGCGGCAACGCGCGGTCTAATCTATATTCCTATAATTATATAAAAATTGCAAATCTGCACGATGTAATGTAACAATATGTACTTACATCTTGAGAGATAAAAGTGCGCATAAATGTCGAGACTACTTTATGGCTCGGAACAGCAATAAAATTTCATGTTATCGCGAGTCAAGTGCATATAATTCTATAATGTACACATAAATAAAATTCTGACGAGTTTCTATTTAAAACTTGCAAAGTGTATCACATAAAGATGCGCATGTTGCATACAAAATTAGAAAATAATTTCTATTTTAACACACGAATGTACCTGTCGACTCGTGTAAGATATTAGCTGACATCAAATAGCCATTGAATTAGAAATAATATTTATTTTACATTTTGCAAGGCCGGTAGATGGACTTAACCGATGCTCGACTTGCTAATTTTTGCTAGAAAATAGTGCGTCTTCGTGTTTAAACGAACAAACAGAAAGTACCTAAAATTAGAGTCGCTTCGTTACGCAGTTTCAAACTTTTAATTATAATAATCGAATACCATTGTTGTTATCGCAATGTGTATTTATTGTAATTTACACCGTGTGTGGAGAATGAAATTGGTTTTCTATCCCTAAGTGTGTACATACCTTGTATGTACATTTTTATGTCGCGTGCTGAGGTCGTTTACGCCTTTATACGAGCAATTGTGCTACTATATGGAGAACGGAACATGCCAAAGACAGCGATTGTTCTGTCGATCTATCAGCTCGAAGGTCACAATAGTAACTATATCTGGACTGGAACAATCTATATCTGGAATCGGACATGGTACCTTGAAGACCGTCATAGCAAGGCTCGCATAGTTCAAGGCTATCCTTGTCCTAAATATATACGACTGCGTGAATAGAATTTTCTTTTAAAATTTACCCTGAAAATCACGTAATCGTGGAACATGACATTTTGAAGAACTGTATGAGAGTTTTTCGAAATTTTACCATATAATTACTGGTAAAATGTATGGTAAAATTTCAAAAAACTGTTATAAAGTCCTTTAATCGTGGGACAACATAGCATTTTAAAGAACTTTATGAAAGTTTTTTAAAATTTTACCACACCATACTAGTAAAATGTATGATAAAATCTCAAAACGCGCGCATAAAATTCTTCGAAATGCCGTGTTGTCCTACACAGAAAGACTTTTCTTTTAAAGTTTATCCTGAAAATCATGTAATCGTGGGACAACGTGGCATTTTAAAAAACTTTATGAGAGTTTCTTGAAATTTTGCTACTATAATTACTATTGTAGAAAGTATAATTAGAGGAAAGTCCCCTATTATGAGATAGGTTCCTAATATGCGATAGCGGAGTTTCTGCTAGGTTAATAGGCATCATCTGTTGGTTCCACTGTGAATTTGTTGCCCTTGGAGTGAAATCTCTGTTTAGTAGAAAATTGATAGATCGTGTAATCGTTGCGAGAAAAGATTTGAGATTGAATTTGAACGTTGAAAACCTATTATCTCATATCAGACTCCTATCTCATAATAGAGGCCTTCCCTCTACTAATAAAATGTATGGTAAAATTTCACAAATCTCTTATAAAGTTCTTCAAACTGTCACGTTGTTCTACGATTACAGGATTTCCAGGATAAATTCTACAAGAAAATTCCCTCCATGCGATGGACGTCGCCTTATTATCCATTGAACACGAGAATACGTAAAATCGAAACAATTTAAATATACGATACTATCCGCGATCTGTGGCCATTGTAGAAAATTTTCTGAAGTTTACAAAATCGATTTTTTCAGAGCGGCAAAAATCGATAAAACGCCGTTTTCATGGCTTCTACGATTATCGGCTTACGGTTGACGGATTAAACGTACTTACTGTTCGTTTTCGTTGCGAACAAGCAACTTTTAACAAGCTATAAATACCGCTCAACGACTCAGTGATTTAAATCGAATGGAACTGCAACGGAGAATTACGAAGCATCTTCATGGCCATGGTATGTTCGCGTACCGCACGTCCTTTGATCGCGACACTCGATAAGCCAGATAATCGATAAACGATCGACAATGAAATGTAATGGCCTCAATAAAGTGTCTCCCAAGCAGCTCCTCGTAGCCTTTCAAATCGGATGCGAGCCCTGAACGAATATGCCGTAGCCAGTTTCCGCGTTCAACGGAAAGAGAGGACAGAACGGGCGGTGAATGGTGAGGTTTTGTCTTGCGAAGAATTGCTCGACAGGAGCCTGTGGAAGATATATTAGAGATACAAAAAAAAACCTGTCCTTGAAACACAGGGTGAATTGCATGATTCAACCGCCTCGAGTACGTCCGTCGTTAGCGAACCGATTCAAATTTTTGTTGCCTCGAACAGTCATGCGAGCGAGCTAATAAACCATTGCATTTTTACTGCTGTATCTTTATGCGAGCGGCATTCATTTTCGAACATCGTACCTTAGTGTGCCTGGTGCTGGACTGGCACGTAGCTCAATCGCTATGTACCGATATCGGATATTTGTGCGGGTATCAAATATCCCTGTATTTCATTTTATTAAAGATTACTTGTAAAATTTACAGAAAAGAAGATAGAGACGTCAAAATTGGCAATAATTTGTTAAAGGAAGTTTGTTGCAGTCGAAAAAAGATATTAAATGATAAAAATATCGTAGCTAATGAAAAAGAGACGAAAAATAATGACGTAAAGAATCAATCGTGAAAATCGCACGTTTAATTGTCGAGTGGTCGATTAAATCAAATTGGACTTTGATAAAAATAACTATTTCTGGAATGGGAATAATTGATTTTAGATAGCAATTAATAATTGGAAAGGTCGGCTTTACGACGTCGATTTAATGTGCGTCTGTGAACGCGACTTCTTGGAGCACTTTTGGCACTTAATGAAAAGCAATTCCGTTATGTCGCAGCCCGCCTCCACTGCAGTCGCAGCCATATGTTTCGATAGAACAGTTTTAGCGACCTGTCGAAGGCCTTGAGTGAACGGTTAATCAAAGCGATCGTTTACTATCAACTGCTTACATTGTTCATTATGCATAATTCTTCGGCGAACACGGGGAGCGCTTTCCGACGCACTTTCAATAATACAATTCCTTTTACTCGCGATAAATCCATATATCCTGGTATAGTGGGGGGAAAACTGAATCATACGCCAACACAAAATTTTGTCTGTTCTGTTATCGCGGGAAATCAATCGCTCGTACCCGATTACCGGTTCTCAGTAATTCGTGCAATCCGTAAAACGCGATAAAACTAAATTATTAAAGGCTTTAGGTGTTTGGGGAACGCAACATTTTTCTCAATGCAGTGGATTTTTCTTCTTCCGATAAACTGAAACCCAAGTTGCGTATATTACAATTAAAGTCGTGTTACATTGAATGTGTCGACAGACAAGTTGTCCTCGACGCGACTCTGTAACATGATCGTCTGTGAAGCTTGACTCACTTAAAAACTGGAGAAGATCGTATAACGAATCAATTACTCTAGTAATTCAATTTACTCGCGGGATCGTTGAAACGGTCAATATAATATATCGAATTATTCAATCGACTTGACGTAGGGACCTTCGATATTAATTTCATGATATCGTTCTAGCTAACGAGATAGAATCAAACTTAGACTTCGTCAAATTTGAATTTATCTGAAGATGCTGTATGGAACATTTCATTAGCTACGGAGTATTTAAGATGATTTTAAGACGATCTTGGATATAAGATCCATGAATGCCGGCCTCGATAAACCGGCTTTAATAATTCAATCGCCGAAATAATAACGACTCAAGAGTAAATCTATGTAACTGTCTGTTTTCTAGGAGTTAAGTCCATGGAACCTCGTTAGAATTATTTCGCGCGTTAATATTGACACGGGATTGCATACTGCAGGAATTAAACTGTTTACTAGACAGGCCGACGCGACAATGTAAACGCGCGTAAATGAAGGAGAAACAAATATATGTCGCAATAAGTCTGTGCAAGTGTTTTCAAAATGTCAAGCGTAGGAGACCAAAGCCGATTCTTGCTGTTTTATCGTTCGTTCTTGTTAGTTTCTATTTCTATATGAATAAATCTATGTTTGACACCACATAAGACAATGCCGATATAAAAAAATACACGTAAAATACTTGACATGTTTATTACGTTTTTGCATGCATCGAAAGTTCAACGTACGTTTGTAATAAAAAGCACACACACGCATTTGTTATAGATCAGA